TGCTTTGTGTCCTTCAACATTTGTGTCCTCCTACACTTTAAATATTGCGAAAGAAGTATGACTCCTTTCTGAGCAGTTTGTACCTCTACAAAGTTGACAAACTCTATGACACATCATCTCATTGATGACCACCAGGAATGGCAATCGTGCCGTTTTTAATATTAGTGGGGGATAGAGGTGATTCTTTTCTTTATTTTAAGGCTTCAACCAAGAGTATTTTTTTCTTCAATTTTTTTTTCGCTTTCCTGAAATTGTAAGACGTGTTTCCATGAGCAGAACGAAATATTATTGATATCTGGCAAATGGCCTGTATGGATCTTAAACATAATTCAACCAGCCAGCTATTTATGTTTAAATAATATTGAATAAATTATTTGGATATATTCTTGGAATAAAATTAACCACTATGGGCAATAAGGAATAATAGTTGTACAATGATTTCAGGGGTAAAGTACTGAAAAGGAGGGGCGCCTGGGTGGCTCAGATGGTTAAACGTCTGCCTTCGGCTCAGGTCATGATCCCAGGGTCCTGGGATCGAGCCCCGCATTGGGCTCCCTGCTCAGTGGGGAGCCTGCTTCTCCCCCTCCCTCTGCTTCTCCCCCTGCTCATGTTCTCTCTCTCTATATATATCTCTGTGTCTTGAATGAATAAATAAAAAAAATCTTAAAAAAAAAAAAGAACTGAAAAGGAAGTGACTCTTAAAATGAGATCCTCACAGAGATTTAGATTATTTCTAAAATAAGTAATTTCTTACCTACACTAAAATGATTTGTATAACACTGGGAAAATTTAATTTGCATAATATTAGGAAAACTTACTTAGCCTCTATAAATCTTTTTTTGAAGTTTTATTTGAAGAGATGTTAGAACATTTCATTTCACTAGATAATTTTAGTAATTAAGCTTAATATGATACATAAAATTTCTAGTAGAGTGTTTAACATACAATAGACACTAGACAATTTGTACTTTGTTTTTCTTTCCTTACGATTCACAGCAACATATTTTATAGAAGCAAGTTCCCCAGGAAACTGATGTTTAAAAGTGGTAGGCAAAAGATACAAGAGATGCTGGGTTTGTGGTCATTCAGGAACTAAATATTTTCAAAGCTGAATTTAGTGCTGTGATCCTAAATCTTTATTTGGAGTCAATAGTAATAATAATTGTTTTACAATTCAAAAAGTAACAACTGCCATGTATCCACGTGCTTGCTGTATGTGAGAGAAATCAATAGGCAATTTAATATGCTTTTTGAAATTACTTCTCAGCAGTACTGCAACATTTAATTTAGAAGTCTCATCAATGGGGAGGATTTTCAGTTTTAAATGTGAGTTTTTAGGCTATGATGTGAAGAGTCAACAAATGTTTTTTTTGGATAGACTTATGACACTTTATTATGCCAGGTCTCAGTGATGAGGCCACAGCTGGAGAAGAGAAAGAGTGGAATAAGAAGAAAATGAGCTGAGGGGACAAGACTCCTGTTTTTGTTTTGTGGGTTAAGTGTCAATAACCATGGACTAGATGGGGTTATGAAGAGGTGGTCTTTGGTCTGTAGGTGTTGGTCGACTCTGATGGTGAACACATGGACATATTAAAAACATCATTAAGGACGAATAATACTTGATGAACAGCTAAAAGGTTTGGTTAGTAAAATAAGGAATTCTTATATTTTATTTTACAGTAATTTAGAGTTCACCATCGGCTGGAGTTAGCCCTCATTTTTTCCATTAGAAAAAGTAAATATGAAAACAGCATGGCTCCAGAAAGCTAGGTGCTTTGTGGTGGGCATACAGCTCCTGTAATCTAAAGTCATCTTTCATTTTCTGTCACTCCTGTTCCTCCTTGTCCCCGTAGGCTGCCACTACCAAAGTGTGCCATGTTCTACCCATCTCTGTACCTGTAAGTTTGCATTTTCCATATTATTCTTCAGCATTTGTTTTAAAATTAGAACAAGCATAACACCCCCCCACATACTTAGACCATGTACATCTGCAGAGCAGAACAGCTTAAAACCCCATGGGGAATCTCTGGATTTCCTGTGGCCGATTTAACTTGGTAAAGCACAGGAGCATCTGAATTTCCATTACTTTATTGGTGTACCTCGTTAACGATATAGCTTAATTTGCATATCAGTAGTACCTTTTCACCACAGGTGAGAAATTGAAATGTTCAAGGTCAATTAACTGCGAATGTTTCAAGTCTGGGTAGTATAGCTGTAACAGTGAGTGATGCTGGGAAGAGGGAGCTGTCAGTGAGAGGTGCCTCTTTCTCCTGATGAGAATTGATGATCCAGTTTTAACTCACCAGAATCATGCTGATTCTTTTTTCCTCACTGTGCTCCTCTCATGTGTTCACTATTTAAATACTGGTCTATCAAGGAGTGTCAAAGTGCTAGAGAAAGATTATAAAATTCCTAATGTTGAAACTCCACCCATCCAGGCTACTGGGCAAAACCACAGGGTCTTCAAGAGCAGATACAGAGAAAATTAAAAGTAAACACAAACCAACAAGAATTGCAGAATGTATAAATATTTTGGATCAGAGAGAGAGAGAGAGCGCATTACACTTTTGATGTATGGAGTGGAAGACACTTTTTGAACAATGATTTATTCCAAGAAAAAAGGAAATTTGAGAAAAAAAGTGCCTAGTTCTAAAGACAATGTAGTGAGTAACTTGGGAATCATACCCTAATACAAGCAGGAGTTAGTATTATACCATCGAGAGAGGATGTTGTTGTCATGTAATTCTTTTTTAAAATGCTGTATTGACTCAGTTTTGAGGCCCTGACAAGAGGATGGTCAGTTCCCGTTAGTGAGCAGCTGATCATATCCACAACCCGACCACTTCCCTTGTTGGGCTCACACCCTCTGTGGCTACCGTGCCTCAACCGTAGTCACCCTGGGGCTAAGTACCAGACAATTAGGGACAAGCCTGTGTCCCGGAACCTCTTCACATTCGTCCACAAGGAGCCCACAGAGCCTCTCTAACTGTACCCCACTTGCCATATATAAGCTGACCCCACAGCTCCAAGTTGTTGTCACCCTTTCTGAGGGTGCATCTCACTGCATGCCCCTGCCTGCAGGCTTCTCTTCTTTGGAGCTGTTGAAGAGTTCTGCTTTTCCTCTCTCAGAGAGTCATTGTATTCTATCAGCCATCAAAAGAATTTTTAAATCTTACAAACAATTGTTAACACAGATATGTCTCTTTAGGTTCCACAGTGGTACGTACCACACCATAATAGCAAACATTTATTGGGCATCTCTTTGCATTAGGGCCTGTACTCAATGTTTAATGAAACAGGGCATGGATGGCAGGAATAATGCTTGAATAAAAACAGTATATAAATTGTAATCTATTTTTTTTTGTATAATTCTTTAAAAAATATTTTTTATTATTATGTTCAATTAGCCAACATATAGTACATCATTAGCTTTTGATGTAGTGTTCAACAATTCATTATTTGCATAATACACCCAGTGCTCATCCCCACACGTGCCCTCCTTCATACCCATCACCTGGTTACCCCATCCGCCCACCTCCCTCCCTTCTGTAACCCTCAGTTTATTTCCCAGAGTCCAGAGTCTCTCATGGTTTGTCTCCCTCTCTGATTTCTTTCCATTCAGTTTTCCCTCCCTTCCCCTGTGGTCCTCCGTGCTATTCCTTAGTTCCACATATGAGTGAAAACATAAGATAATTGTCTTTCTCTGCTTGACTTACTTCACTAAGGTAATCTTTTATTTAAATGTTAGACCTTATATCAGAGCCTTAAGGTGGGTGACAAAAGAATGGGGGAAAGAAAACGTGCTAATATTCTTATCTGGGGTGTTATGTAATAGATGTTGCATTTTAATAGATATTGAATATTAGATAATTATGGATTTAAGAAGGTGTTAAACTGTATTTCATGACTTTTACAATGATTACATGTTACTTATATAATTATCAATGTCAATATTAGTTAAAATAAATAAATTCCCCAAATAAGGCATTATTGTATTAAACTGGAAGAATGAAATATCTTAAGACATACAGTAGTCACATCTGTAATATTTCTGGTGTGCAGTGAATAAAAGAAAACATGATAAGTTCTGCTCTAACTGTACATCCTTGAATATACAGTAGATTCTTATTTTTCACTCTTGAGTGCTCCAGCACACCTTACTCTCTGATCTTTTCCCTGATAGTCCCTCCCCCATCTCTCACCCATCACCCCATTCCCCGGACAGGATAGAACCAGCCAGTGGTGTATTGGTGAATTGGCTGGGCTGGGAGTGGGGGCTGATTTGTAGAGTTTGCCAATTTCTGTCCCAGCATGGCCAGTTGCGAACATGGCTATATTTAACAATCAGCTTGCAAAATTCCTGAAAATTTAATTGCCTCTCATCCACTGTTGCCAGCCAGGTCCAGCCTTCCACTGGATAGAACGCTCCTCCATCATCTATTGTATTATTGTTCTCTGCACCTGCCTCACCATTAACATTTGTGCTTTACACATGCTTCTCAATGTCTGTTATTCCCATAAGACTGTAAACACAGTGAGGATAGGGACTGTGCCTTGACCATCTGTATCCTCAGGCTTGATGCTGTACTTTTTCTCCAGGAAGTCTGAACGTGATTAGATACCAAAGGTAGTTTTCTAGTTCCACCACAGTGTGAACCACGATTGAAGGTTAAAGCATTTTACCTAATCACGTGTGGGCAGTAAACCCGCTAGTTCCACCTGTCAGATTAAGCACTTTAAACATTTGATAAGATCCTTGGTTCTCCCCAGTGTCAAGAAGTTATAATACCTAGAAATGAACATAATTAACACAGGCTTCATCCTTTTATACTAAATTCTTGTTTTTCTATATTATTCTACAATTATGAGAAGTTTCATATTTGGAAATTTGACTTTATTAAACTCCATCCAGGAATACAGTCTTACTGGCATCTCTAGTCCACTAACAGATTTTTAACTAATCTTTTGCCCATTTTCTTCTGTTTCTATTTGCATGAAAGGAGCTGGTGGCTGGTCTCCACTTGTGTCAAACAAATACCAGTGGTTGCAGATTGACCTTGGAGAGAGAATGGAGACCACTGCTGTGGCCACCCAGGGGGGATATGGGAGCTCCAACTGGGTGACCAGCTACCTCCTGATGTTCAGTGACAGTGGCAGGAACTGGAAACAGTATCGACAAGAAGACAGCATCTGGGTATGTTTCTTTGACAGAAAACATAGTCTCTCAGGAAAAGAGAGTCGTCCCTGCATGTTGTTTATGAATTTCCTAAACTAAGTTGAGAAACAAAATTTTTGGAATTATTTAGGAAACATTTTTCAAGAAAAAATATGTTAATATTTATTTCTAATACATTTCATGGTATAACTTATAAAAACACTAAAGGTAAATTTATCTCAGAGACCTCAGAAATTGGGGAAAAAAAATCTTATTTGTCCATTACAGAGTGTGGAAGTCTAAGAAATAATCAAAACTTGTAAATTTTTTTTAAGCTTTGTCCAATAACACAGTGGTTTTGCATGGTCTTCATTTAAAGCTTGGTTAAAAGAATTTGTTTCTTTTATTCCCTCTGATGACTCAGAGATTTCTGAACATCTCCCTCTCTCTCTAGTATATGGAGGTTTATATATATATTTGGAGTATTTATGTATGATATATATATACACACACTTATATACATATATATAATTTGTATATAAACCATTCTCTGTTCTTTTAAAAGTACATAAGTGTGTAAAATGCTGTGTGTTATGGGCAGGGGCATGGCTTCTATAGGAGACTGACAAGGAGGCAGTTTATAATAGAGTGGGGTGATATTTGTAGTTGGTTGATTGTATATGAACACCTGGTGGAAGAAGGGAGCTATAGGCAATTTGTTTGGTGGTGAAGAAAGGACTTCTTTGCTAGGAGAAGGGTATTGGTTTGGATCTTACATGGGCCAGGGACAACATACTGCAGTCAAAGAACTTTCTTTTTTTTTTTTTCCTCTGGCTGAGCTGCTGGAACCAGAGAAAATGAGTAACTTAATGAAGCATCATTCTTAGCACACAGATAATTTGGAAGCCTATTTGGGCACATAATGATAATTTTCTGTGATCAGTCAATTGCCTCTCTTTTGAAAGTTCCTAGAACTCGGTATACATTATCAACTCATGGAAGAAATGGACTGTGATTTACTCACCTTTGTATTTCTAATGCACTTGGTGGCCATTTGACGCATGTTTATTGATGTAAATTGAATTGAGAAGAAGTAGCCCTGCTCTTTCTCTAGAGAGAACAAAAGTCAGGCTGGAAGAAGTGGCCTATAAGCATTTTTAAGAAAAGCTGCCTTAAAATCCAAAGGAAGCTGAAGTGTAGAAGAGCGAGAAAAACTGGATATTACGGTTGAATTAATTTCATGAGAACCATTCAAACTAGGGACAAAATAAACAGTAATTATGAACCAATAACAATGAAAGCTTAATGAGGTATTTATTTTAACTAGGTGTTTGGATTATCTTTTACTCTTTTTCTAAATTAAGCATTGGATTTTAAACTAAATAAGTAGAGGCTAATTCATGGTAATATTTAGTTGTGTTAAGTAAAACGTACGTTTTTGACATGTCTTAAAATGATGGATCAACCATGAAAATTGTTTCTCTGTTCATTAAGCTTGGGGAAAGCCAAACCTAGACCACGCCATTTGCCTTTTTTGTTTACTCTTATTAAAGGTGAGGTGCTCAGATCCTGGGGTGCCTGGGTGACTCAGTCAGTTAAGTGTCCAGCTCTTGTTTTAGGCTCAGGTCATGATCTCATGGGTCATGAGATTGGGTCCCACATCATGCTCCACACTTAGTTCGGAGTCTGCTTGAGATTCTCTCCCTCTGCCCCTCCCCCCACTAGCTTGCACGCACTCTCTCTCTTTGTTTCTCTCTCTCTCAAATAAATAAACAAATTTAAAAAAAAGGTGACGTACTCAGGGTGAAATAGAGGCATAATGATATCCCTAACTAATCCAAACCAATCGATGTGAAGACAGATGGCATCTATCACAATTAATTGTCAGGGTAATGCTATTTTTTAGACTGTGCTATAATTTGTTGGTTTACTCACTTTCTTCCTCTCTTGAGTGTGAACACCCTGAAAATAGAGGCTGTACCTTCCATCCTTTCATCTCAGCATCCCAAATCTTAAGAGTTCCCGGCATGTTAAACCATAAGAGACTCTTAACTACAGGAAGCAAACTGAGGGTTGCTGGAGGGGAGGTGGGTGGGGGGATGGGGTAACTGGGTGATGGGCATTAAGGAGGGCACTTGATGTAATGAGCATTGGGTTGTTATATGCAACTGATCAATCGCTAAATTCTACCCCTGAAATTTAATAATATACTATATGTTAACTAAATTGAATTTAAATTAAAAAAAAAAAAGAGTTCCTGGCATGTTGCAGGCAAATACTAAATGTTTGTTGAATGAATGAATGAGGGAATGAATAAATGAGTGAATGAAAACAGTGCACTTTATTGTAGTGACTCCTTCCTCCCATGATCAGCTCTGCCTTTTAGTGCACTTATGTATACCGGTTTAATATATTTAGAGTTAGGATGGTACATTTCTCTCTCCCTTATAAATTTTGAACTTTTTTATGGGAGAGGGTTTATCTTTTTCATCTTTGCATTTCCAGCATTCAGTACCTAGTGTGGCACATGGCTTTTGTTGAGTGTATTACAGAAAAAAATCAATGAATGAATAGATTTGAATACATTGATCACCTGATCTGGGTCTAACTTTATAAAAATAATTCTGGGAGGTATTGAAAGAGCTCATGTTAATGTCATCAGAGATAAAACACGTCAGAACAAACCAAAAAATGATTCAGAGAAGCATGCAAATATGGGGTACAGACTTCTAGAGATTTGGAAATTGGTGGAATATACAGATCATTGTAGACTGACTTTGTCAAAAAAAGCTGGGCTCACATGAGTATTGAAAAAAGCATGATAACTTAGATTATGTAAGGATTAAGGAAGCTTCTACCATATAGCTAGAAAAGGGTGAACAAAAGCATAGACATTGGAGATATCCAGAGATACAGTATCCCATGTAATAACCAGTGAGTCTACTGGTTAGAATGGACCGTCAAGTTCGGGAAGGGCTGAATGATATTTTTGGTTATGGTAAAGAAAATTGATGGATAACCCTGAATGTCAAGATCAAAATTAGGGCTTGGTGCAACAGGTACCATGAGTACACATGAGACAGGTGAAGTTATGGGTACACATGAGACAGGTGAAGTTATGGGTACACATGAGACAGGTGAAGTTATGGGTACACATGAGACAGGTGAAGTTATGGGTACACAGACAGGTGAAGTTATGGGTACACATGAGACAGGTGAAGTTAAGGTGTAGGTAAAACAACCCCAATCCCATACCACATACATACCTTCATGCTACCTGTTCATCCCGGGTAGGCTGCAAAGTTCTCTTCTACTCTAGTGACTCAGGTGCCCCTCTAAGGAACTCCCTCTCTGTGAGTCTGTGATTGCCAAAGCAGGAGAAATGCAACATGTTGAATTGCACCCAGTTCTTGACAGTTCACCTGGAATAACACAGACCACTTCAATTTGGGTTGTTTTTTAGCCAAAGTAGAATTTTTAATTGATGTACATAGTAAGGAATTTAACCTTTTGTTGTACTTTACAAATATATAATTCCCAAATTCTTTTTCTTTATTTGGTATGTTTTTGCCCATTTTTTAAAAGATACTCTGGGTTGTATACAGACTATACAGAACATGCCAGTTTTCTTTAAGAGCTTCACATTCTGCCCCAGATGATAGAAATAAATCCATGAAAGAGAGTTAGGAAACACATAAGCCATTATACAAGTGTGTGATGGAAAGAGGAAGAAAAGACAACTGTGAATTTAGAAACAAAGAAAATAAAACCCATCAACTTGGATTGAAATGCTGCTGTGGGGATCCTCACTCTCCCTTCATTTGATCCTGCCTCAAGCACTGGGGACAACAGTGATTTCTGTACACCTGAAAGACTTAACAAAATGTCCTGCTGCTTCTTACAAATAATCTTTAAAAAGAAAGACAAAATATTTTATTTATTATCTATACAGTTCATGCACATACTTAATAGAACCGTAAACTTGACAGATACATGGTAGTTTGTAAAATTACGCACTAAAACATTTCTTTAGAAAAAATTTATAGTCCAAGCTCATAAATGTAATTTATATGAAATATTCTAGTAGATGGCATATAAATATTTCACAAAAAATTAGAAAATGCAAGCCACTAAAATTGTTCCTCTCAAATTGAAGATAAAATAAAATCCCTCAACATCTATGATCAAAAGACTTTTCAGCCAGTTTATTGTAAGTGATTGAAAAAGTAAATGTAAGGTGTAATTTTCACTCATTTAAGAACAATTGCTGAGTATCATGAAAGTAACATCTTAGAAACTATTTTAAATAGATCAGCATGTGCAGGAACTTTATAGCTAAATTATCCAAATTGTCTCTGATACATGCCCAAGGTTCTTTTACACTGCAGGCTATACAGGCAAAGAATGGGATGGTATCAATTTTATGAATTATTTAGATGAATATGATTGTTCTACACAGAATAGTTTGCTTTTTTTTTATGGGTTTCATCCAAACAAAAAACCTTTAGCATATTTCTAAAGTCAGAGTAGTTTTATTTATTTTTTTTAATTAGACGTGTTTAATGTCATCTTTGGCTTGTGAATAATCTAGGGCCCCTGTGACATAGTAGTATGTTCACAAAATATTCACACCATTATCACTGTGAATGATTGAGTTGTCAACTCTCAAAGCCAGACAGGGCAGAAAGACTACCTGCAAAGATTTTAACATATATTTGTTTCAAATCAAATAAATACGTGACTGGGGGAGTTTGATAGAAAACCCGAGGAGGCAGGAATACAAGTGGGAGAGGTGCTATAAGCCTATTGGACTCCCTGCCTTGCGAGGTGCAGCTTTTCTAGCCCTTCTCCTCTGTTGAGCCCTTATTCTGGTGACTTAAGCCTACAAAAATCATTTGTGATGATACAAAGGACAACAGTATTAATGCCATGTGTGTCAACATGTCAAGTCATAAAGCTTAATGCATCGTAAGCCTTGCCTCAGTCCTTGGACCAACGCCTAGAGAACGCTTTTTAAGCTCCATCTGCCTTTCAGGACG